ATAATTGATCATGTTTCTTAGTGTTGAAGATTAATTAGTTTTATGATGTTTTTCTGAGTAAATGTTTTATATTAGTTGTTAGATAGGAGGTGGGGACCACAGTAGTTATGTGAGTCCAAATTTTATTATATTTTTTTAGTGTTATATATGTTGTTTTATATTTTGCCGCCCTATAAGGGCATAGTTGTCTTTGTACTGTTCTATTATTTTAGTATAAATAATAAGTGAAGGGGGCAGCCAGATTATTGCTCTCTTTTCTTTCAACTTCCCTTCTTCTCTTCTTCTCCTTCTCTCTTCAAGAAACTACTTTCTTTCATATTTTTTTAATTTAGTAGATTTCTACTTGGTATCAAAGCATCAACTAGGATTTCTTGAAGCATTCTCATGCAGCCCTAGATCAGTCGACTGCATGAAGTAGTAAAGGGTTGATCAATCTGCTATAGATTACCCAGTTCTTTGAGTTTTTGATGGGGTCTAAACATCAAGAAGGTGATTATTGTTCGACATCAAAATCAGGAAGAACTAGAGTACGGGGAAGAGTCCCAAAAAAGTTGGACTCTTTGTTTTTTATTTGATCTTAGGCGCCCAGGTATTGTTAGTTTTCTTTTGATTTTCTGAAGAGGGCGGTTTGGTTTTTGAAATTTTCTAGGCTTCCCGGAGTGATCGATTCACTTTTCTCTCTGTTGGGAGGCGTGGGGAGGAGAGAGATTTCCCTCCAGCTAGGGTTTTCTTCTTCCGGAAGGGTTGATTTCTGTGTGTGTGGTATTAAATTATTTTTTGAAGGTCTCCAATCTCTTTTTTTTTTTCTTACTGTTGAACTGTTTGAAGTAAAATGGAGAGTTGGAATATCGAGATGAAATCTACCGGTACTGTGGGACTGGGTGTTGGAGGTAGTAGTGATATTTTTGGGTGTAGGATCATTACTACAGTAAAACTTGATGGTACAAATTATTTGGAGTGGGATCAAACAGCTAAGATGGCTATTGGTGCCCGTGAAAAATTAGAGTATCTCATTGTGAATGAGAAGAAACCTGATACAAACTCTTCTAGATGGGTGCAAGAGAATTACATGGTAATGTCTTGGCTGTGTAATTCTATGTTACCTCATATTGCAAAAAATTTCCTATGCGCTAATACTATTAAGGAGATTTGGGATGGAATAACTGAAACCTATTCTCATAAGCAAAATGAAGCCAGAGCCTATTAGTTAAGAAATCAGGTGATAAGTATGAAACAGGGAGAAAAACCTCTTGCTGTGTATTTCTCCATGCTGAAAACCCTATGGCAGGAAATAGATCACTTAGAAACTGTGGTATGGGAAAGTGTAAATGATGCAGTAACTTATCACAAACTGGTAGAGAGGAATAGGGTTTTTGAGTTCTTGGCAGGGCTGAACCTTGAATTTGACATTGCTAGGCAATAGATTCTTTCTAGGGAGGGTGTGACACTCTCTCAGGCCTATGCTTTTGTCTCTAAAGAGGAGAGTAGGAGGAATGTAATGCTGAGACAGCCTGGGATTGACCAGTCGACTATGGTTGGTACAACAAAACCTAAGTCGAATGGATACAGGGGGAGTAGTGAGACTAGAAGGGAAGATAAGAAGGACTTGGTGTGTGATTATTGCAAGAAGCCTAAGCATACCAGGGACACTTGTTGGAAACTTCATCCAAATCTTATGCCTGCTCAGATAAGAAACAAGAAGGGAAATGCAAATGTAGCCACTATAGGAGACTCTTCAGCCCTTCTCTCCCAATCTGATTGGGAATTCATTGCAGTAGCAGCAGTGAGAACAGAATTTGAGAGGTTTGGACAGCTTATGAGTAAGAAAGATTCACCCAACTCTAGCCTTCCAGATGGATAGCAGAATGCATGAACCAACTACACCACTTCCTTTGCACATACAGGTAGTTCATATGCAACTGCGAATTTTGTATCCACTTCAGGTAAGGAGGGACCTCCCTGGATTATAGACTCAGGAGCATCTGAGCATATGACTAATGCCCCTACCATTTTCAGTTCCTATCAGTTGTGCTCTGGTAGAGACAGAGTCTCAATAGCAGATGGTTCACATATGCCTATTGCTGGGAAAGGGACAATTAGAGTGACCAACTCTATTTTACATGTCCCTAGACTTCATACCAACCTATTGTCTGTTAGTTCTTTGACAAAAAATTTGAATTGTTCTATGACCTTTCTTCCTGTAATTGTGTTTTGCAGGATCTGGAGTTAAAGAAGATGATTGGGAGTGGTCATGAGGTGAATGGAGTCTACCTTCTGGATGAGATTCTGAGACATCATGGCCATCATGTTAGCAGCAGCAATAGTAGTGGGTCAGAGTCAATAAACTAGATTATGCTTTGGCACAATCGCTTTGGACATCTTTCTTTTAGTTCTTTGAAATTTCTTTTTCCAAAATTGTTTGAGTCTGTTCAATTATCTACTTTGGAGTGTGAGAGTTGTCAGTTAGGAAAGCATTGTAAATAGTCTTTTAAACCAAGTAATAAAAGAACTACTTCTGCTTTTAATATTGTTTACACTGATGTATGGGGGCCATATCAAATCCCTTCCATTGGAGGATTGCGTTACTTTCTCTTATTTGTGGATGATTATACACGATATTCTTGGATATATTTGATAAGATCATGTGATGAGGTTCCTAACTTACTATGACAATTCCACCAGATGGTTCTCACACAATTTGGAGTGAGAACTAAGGTTTTTAGATCAGATAATGCCAAAGAGTACTTTGAGAAGGACCTAACCACGTATCTCTTAGAACATGGTGTAGTTCATCAGAGCAATTATGCATATACACCGCAACAGAATGGAGTTGTTAAGAGGAAAAACAAACACATTGTGGAGGTGGCAATGAGCCTTATGGTGTGTGCTTCAATTCCTATGCAGTTCTGGGGAGATGCAGTTCTTATAGCCGTACATGTGATTAACCATATTCCTTCACAGACTTTGAGGTTTAAGGTGCCATTTAGCCTCCCTTTTCCAGATGGAGAGATATTTCATGTACCTCTAAGGGTTTTTGGCTATGTTTCTTTTGTTCACATTCTTGGCCCTCATCGCAAGAAATTGGATCCTAAGGCCAAGAAATGTGTTTTTCTTAGGTATGCTCAGAACCAAAAGGGGTATTGCTATTATGACCCAGTGTCGATGAACAGATTTGTCACTATGGATGTTACATTTTTTTAATCCACATTCTTCTTCACGAGTGGTTCTCCTCAAGGGGAAAGTTTTGGAGAGGAGAACTCACAATCTGTTCCTCTTCCTGTTTTTGTGGTGCTTCCATCATTTCAGCCAGCATCTGCATCAATTCAGCCACCACCTGCACCTCTAGTTTCATTACCTGAGCCACTACGGACAGCTTCACAGCAATATCAGCGCCGGCAGATGATGGTTGACTCCAAACATCCTCGACCCACACCACTCTCTGTCAGTCCTTCTGAAACTCCAGATTCGACAGATACAGTTCCATGTATTCCTCTTGAGCCTGTTATATTTTCCGATGATAATGTTTATGTCCCTAACACCATTGTTGCAGCTGATCTCACTGACCTTGATCTTCCCATTGCACTTTGTAAGGGGAAGAGAAAGTGTACAGCCCACTGCATTTCACACCATCTTTCCTACAGTGCCTTATCACCCTCCTACAGTGTTTTTCTTTATTCCTTGGATTCTGTGTCTATACCCAGGAATATTATTGAAATTCTCTCCAAACCTGAGTGGAAAACAATCATGCAAGATGAGATGGATGCTTTGGTCAAAAACCAAACTTGGGAAATAGTTGATCTCCCCCCAGACAAGGAGAGTGTCGGATGTCGATGGGTATTCACAGTGAAGTATAAAGTCGATGGCAAGATAGAGAGGTACAAGGCAATGTTGGTAGCAAAAGGGTATACTCAGACCTATGGTGTTGATTATCTGGAAACCTTTGCACCAGTAGCTAAGATGAGTTCAGTTCGTATTCTTTTATCTCTAGCAGCCACCTATTCATGGCCCTTGTTCCAGCTTGATGTCAAAAATTCTTTCCTCAATGATGACTTATAGGAGGAGGTATATATGGACATTCCAGTAGGCTTTTATGAAAATGTTGGTAAAGGAAAGGTGTGCAGACTCAGAAAATCTCTATATGGATTGAAACAGTCACCTAGGGCTTGGTTTGACAGGTTTAGAGGGGCACTCATCCGTTTTGGATACACACAGACACAATCTGATCACACCCTCTTTGTGAAGATGAGAGATGCTTTGGTGTCAATTCTGATTGTGTATGTGGATGATATAGTGGTGACAGGAAATGATCTGGAGGAGATTGATGATCTCAAAAAATCAAAAGAATTAACTGAAATAAATGGAAGGACCAACCTGCAAATTGGTAACCAATAAACTTGGCACAACCATATCAAAGCCAATCAAGACAGTTAATATCCATGAAAATCAGGAAAAACTCTCCATTGTTCTAGTTTTGCATTTAGTCCATCCTAAGTCTTATTAATCAATACCACATTGTCGGCAAGCAACTTGTTTATAAATTGAAGGACACTATAACATGGTAAAAGTTCCTTTATGTTATAGTGTTAATGAATCCAGTCTTAGGAGGCATGTTCCATTCATTACGACACTCGATCAATGCTGCAGAGGTTTCATGACCCACTAAGAAAATTCAAATTAAACAACATAAATTTGCATAAATGCAGTACTATTGCACATCTTTCAATTGATCACTGAAAATCTAGTTTATTGGGTGGGGTGGGGGGTGGAGGAGAAGATGATTCCAACCCAGTCCCTCAGCTGAATCTCACATATTCTATGCCCTTTTTAATCAAGTATGAATCATGTAAATTGTTTTCTTCATGGTATACTTTTCCTAGTTATCAGTAATAAACCTCAATCCAGTCCTATTGTAATAATTACAAACCGACCTGGAACCATGCTTAGTTGATAATTATAAGAGATCAGACACTGTCCTGCCAACAACATGGCAACGTTTTGTTTCACCAATAATCTCCACAAGAACATACTCCACTTTTGAAATGATGAAATCTATGAGCATCTCGCACAAGAAATTCTCTTTCTGTAACCTTAGAGATAAATTTTGTAGCAGTATGGCAATCTCCACATACTCTTAGGTTCTTCTTGATTCTGATCATACTCCCAGGTGTCGAATTCAATAGACCAAAAGCAATTGCTAATTTCTCACTATGTACGGACAACATTTTCTCCTTTGTCTCTTCCTCAACATCATGCAATACAAAGTTTGTATCCGGCACGTATCCTTCTTGTCTAATCCTTTCCATCAATCTCTCCAATTCTGCATAGATCACATCTGTTTGTGGATTTGATTTATCTCCTGCTACAAACTTGTACACTTTGTTTTTCAATTCTACAACGGTGTGACCAGTGGTTTTCCTCACCCCTCTACGTTTCATAAGGGTTCTAATCTGATTGGCTTCTTCTCTCTTGCCTGAAGAGATGTAAATGTTGTATAACAGAACATAACGGCCAGGGTTTTCTGAGTCCAATTCAAACAAAGATTTAGCTGCCAATTCAGCAAGCTCCACATTTAAATGGATTCTACATGCTCCCAGTAAAGCACCCCATACGCCTGAATCTGGCTTTATTGGCATACTCTCAATAAACTCTTGAGCTTCACTTAGCTGCCCAGCTCGGCCCAAGAGATCAACCATACAAGCATAATGCTCCGATCTTGGCGTAACCCCAAAATCCTTGGCCATCGAATTAAAGCACCTCCATCCTTCAGCAATCAGGCCAGCATGACTGCAGGCAGATAAAACTGAGACAAATGTGATATGGTCTGGCTTTGCTGAATCTTTCATCTGATTAAAGAGATCAAGTGCTTCTCTTCCATAGCCATGCATTCCATATCCTGATATCATGGTGCTCCAGGAAACTAGGTTTCTTTCCTGCATCCTATCAAAAACTTTTCTGGCATAGTTCAAGCTCCCACATTTTGCATATAGATCAATTATAGCAGTTTCTATTAGTATGTTGTAGTTTAAGGAGGCACGAATAATGAACCCATGAATAAAACGTGCTTGATGCAGAGAGGATAAATTTGCAAAAGCACGAACAACACTAAGTAGGGTCACAAAATCAGGGCGATTTTTCCATAATATCATCTGTCTGAAGAGTTCTAAAGCTTCTGCAGGCAAATTGGCTTGCACATAAGCTTCAACCATTGAACTCCAAGACACCAAATCCTTGTCAAGAATCCCATCAAAGAATCTCCGAGCAACATCAATTCTTCCACACCTAGCGTACATACCTACTGCTGCACTTTGAACAGACTGATCCAAGTCAAGACCATTATCTACTATAGTTCTACAGACTGCATTTGCTTCATTCTCTCTATGAACACATTGTACAGCATTTAATATTGTAATTCGATTGGGTTTAATCCTCTCATCTAACATCCTATAAAACAGAGACAGGCCTTCATAATGACGACCATTGTTTGCATAAGCGCCTATCATTGAACTCCATGAAACCACGTTTTTGTGAGGCATTCCATCAAATACCTTCCGGGAAATCTCAAAGCGCCCACATTTGCCATACATGGTTATAAGAGAATTACCCATAAAGATATCCGATTCATATCCAAATTCCATCACGTCCCTGTGAACCTCCTCCCCAAATTGAACATCACGAAGATGCCCACACGCTTTGAGAACGAACGGGAACGTGAAATTATCGGGTGCAACGCCCGTTTCAAGCATCTGCCGGTAGAGAAGGATGGACCGATCGTAGAGTCCATTCTCTGTGAAGCCTCGGATCATGACGTTCCACAGGAAAACGTCGGAGGTCTGAGAAGCAGAGAAGAGCGCATAGGCATGAGACATGGAGCCTAAAGAAGCGTATTGACTGACAAGGTTGGTGAAGAAGAAGAGGTTGAGATGAAGATGGGATCGGAGCATGGAGGCGTGAACCGATTTAAGAGCCCCGAGGGACCCACATTGCCTGATCAGAGGGATGCATGTATCCGGTTCTATTGGTCGGAAGAAGATTTGGGTTTGTTCTGCTGCAAACCTGTGAAGAGCACATATGCTTCTCCTGGACCTCCTGGTTAGTCTATGCATTAAGAGCTTTCTGAAAAACAAAAGAGACGTTTCAACGGTGAATCGTTGCGGTTGCGCCCCTTTATATTGGGCCTGGATGGGCCGTATATGGATTTTAAGGATCCAATCTGAAGTCATTTTTAATGGACCGGGCATGGATCCATCTAGTTAGATCCAATTTCGCCTGCACTTATTTTTTATTTAGATGCGAATCTAGATTTGATTGGATATTATAAAATGGATAATAGTGATTAGCCAAGCCCATTGATGGCCATTCTTGGATGGGGTGCAAATCGGGCCGGGTTAGGTCAGGATGACTTTGCAGCGGGTAGTCCTTAAATGGAGTAAGTCTCTCATGAACTATCTACGGCAACGAAGACACCGCTACAGTCAAAGACTGCAGTAGCTAGTAAGGTAGGCTTTTCAATTCGTTTATCGTTGAGGGAAGTGACCTTAGTTTTTATCAAGGTTCAAAATATCGATATATATTGTATCGGGAGTTTTTTAATATACCCTTACAGAGGGAGTATTGGGGTTTTAACCGGTTCAGGAGATGGACGGACCTTAAACCGGTTCCTCTGAATCGGATTTGAAAAAAAAACTAAAAAAACCACAGATACTGATCGAGATGCCTCTATTGGCATATCGGACGTATCGATATTTTGAACCTTGGTCTCTATACACATAGGAGATGTTAAGGATTTTGCCTTTGTGGCTCTGTAATAAGTCTAAGGAAACGGAAAAGATAAATAAAGTAGAACAAAGGCATTCTTTTTTCAATTCAACTTAACTATGATACAAACTCAACCTAATATATAGTTGAATGAGAGGAAGGATACAATTTGGCACCAAAAAGAAAACGTAGAAATGAGCAAATAAAGGAGATGTTTGGAACCATGGCCATTTTTCAAAAAAACGGTGCCACATCGGATCCACATAGGTGTTTCAACAAACGCCCATGTATCTCATTGTTTGGTTCAGCCAACTATTAAAAAATCGGGCATGTCTCGAAAATTGGGACCCCACCGTTTCATGCATCGATGAACCGTTTCCCCCAACGGTTGACTGATGTGTATCCTATGTGGTGCTTACTTGTCAGTACATACATGAAAAATGATGATAAAAATCACCTTATCAAACAGCATAGTGTTGCTCAATACCTACGTGGCAGAAGCATTTTTTTTTTTGTGAAAAATGGGTCTTGAAAACATGAGCATTTTTTCTTGAAAATCAGTCCCAAAAAATGCCCACGCTACCAAACACCATAAAAGAGGTGGTTACAATGATCATACACTCAAAAGTTCAAAATGGAAACTGGGGGCTAGGAGTCAAGTTTAATACTCTGATAGTATTGGGATCATTCTAGTAGGTAGGGTCCAAGCTGTGGGAGTAATGATAGGTTTTAAAAGAAAAACTTAATTAAGACATAAGAGGGTTCTTTATGATGAAACATAAGAGGTTTTTAATATTTTACATGTGTGAAGAATGACACTTGGTGTGTCATATTTCCTTTGCCCTATAGTGAATTTGGAGTTAGTTCATGTGAGCAATTAAAAATGACACTTAGCAAGTAAATACATGGGTTGAATGGAAATTTAGTTAGATTTAGGATGGCAAATTTGGGTTTTGATATCAATAAGGTTGGGTTGGCTCTTGCATTATAATTTATATTATTCTTCTCAAATTTTAAAAGGGCAGATTTCTTAAACTATCTCTACTGTTTAAGTATTTGTTTTATACCCTACTATTTTTGACAATTAACATCCTATCCTGAGTATCTGTCAAAATCCGTATACATTGACACCAAGTGACCTATATATTTTTTTTCTAACGTCCCTTTCCTCTCGATGCAGCTGCGAAACACCAACACCCCCTTCCTTTGACCTCTCTCTCTCGCTCCCACAACCTCCGCTCTCCACTATTCCACTGTCCACCAGCGGCGATTACGCTGTTGGTACACACTCCCACATCTGCTCTCTCTCTCCGATCTAATGGTCACACCTTCTTTGGTCTTTCTCTCTCCCTTCTTCATTCTCAAACCTCTCCCTCTCCCTCCGCCTCTAGTCTCTCTCTCTCTCCTCCGACAACCTCCGCTCTCCCCTGTTCCACCATCCACCTCTGGTCTCTCTCTCCTTTCTCCATTTTCAGACCTCCCCCTCGTCCACCAACAACAATGCCACCTCCTAAACCTGCTACTTCTAAAACTAAAATCTCGAATAAAGAGAACTTGAAGGAAATCATAAAGGAAAGCACCTAAAGTCTATTGGAAGTGATGAAGGAAGATTTGGCCCAACCTCGCAATCACGCCACGTGGCAAAAAACAAGTAGCTCGGCACTTAAAGCAGCGTACTCAGGGTGCAAACACCAAAGGAAAGAAACTAGTAGTCCGAACTCCTCTTGAGGAGACCGAACTCCCTTCGAGGAGCCCGAACTCCCTACGAGGAGCCCGACCTCCCTACTAAGAGCTCGAACTCCCTACTAAGAGCTCGAATTCCCTACGAGGAGCCCAAACTCTCCCTTTGGCCCCGAGCCACACAA